CTTGAAGTGTTTTGAGTTGCACCTTTGAATATGTGTTTAAGCATTAAAAAAATGTGTAACAGGACCAGTCAGAGAACTAAACAGAAACTTTGAGGTTCTGTTACTGCAGAAATACTGACAGTGCACAGTGTACTTTTGGTGTGAATTCCTGTCCCTGAAACTGGGAGATTAAGGTTGAAAAGGGTATGTGCTCCTGGAAAACTAGGCTCTCAGCTTCCATTAAAGGTGTTGAATGTGTATCTGCTCCTTTTTTTGTACAGCAGGGAAGGTACCCCACAGACCTGTTACATTACTGCCACTTAGCTCTGTTGTGTATGGCTCAATCTAAAATATTCTGGAATTATTAGAACTCATTAAACTTTCTATTTCACTACATGTGGTAAGAGAGGCTTTCAAAAGTACCACAGCAGATGAGGAAAGATCTTAGGCCAGTTAGAGATGAAGTGAGGTTTGAAAAACCTGACTTTTTAAAAAAATGGAGGATTATTCTGTTCTTCTTCCACACAGACTGTATGAGCAGGCTGCTGTACCAGTAGGCTTCAAATATGAACCTCAGTTGAAAATGTGAGTTAGCTTAGTTCAGGGCCAAGGCCCCAGAGTACATCCACAGCTCCTGCTGCTCAGCTTCATCACCTGCAGGCAGGTGAACAGCCAAAATCTTGGACCATGCGTTACCTGCAGTGGGCAGATCAAAGAAAGGTGAATGCACAAGGTTGGAAGATGTTGCAGGAGATAAAATGCAGACCTTGGTTGTGGAGGCAGGTTCCCTGAGATACCTCCATCCTGTTTACCTGGTTCTTTTTGACTGACCAGTGAAGGTAATGTACAGATTGAGAAGGTTCCTAATTTAGTTAGATGAACCTGAATCTCCTTTGCAAGTCTTTCAGACATGTTGAACAACTGCTGGCTTTATACTTTGGAGGATTATCTCCTCTGCTAAGGCATGTCTGTGTGTCAGACAACAGTTAATAGTATGAAGTTGATAGCTGTGACAGAAGAGCTCTGGAAAACTGCTGTGGAAGCTGGATATCCAGTTGTTCACTTTGCTTTTACTGTGGAGTGTGACTTGCTCCACCTAAGAGTCAGCACAGCAGAGAGGAATGTGGGCTTGCACTGCAGCAGTGGTGTATACCTGGGCTCAGCCTGTGGGGACTCAGCTAAGATGTTGGTGGATGAAGCTCTGAGTGGAAGTATTTTTACTGCCTCTGTAGCACTTTGAATCAGTGAGTTTCATGACATTGATTTTTGGATGACTTAGAACCTAATGAAATACTTGTAAACTCTCTCAGATCAGTGCTTTCTTGTGGTTAGTCACATAAAATATTGCAAAGAAATGAGCCTCAGGCTGACCCCTCTGAGCACTCATCCAGCCCCCTGGAGAGTGCAGCAAGCATGCCTTGTCCTTTTCCAGTGTTTGATAAACTGTAACAGAAAACTAGATCAGATCAGTTTGACTTGGTTGGTCCTTTACAGAAGTAGATCTGCTGATTTTGGTCATTTAACTGTCTTTCAGATATTTATAATTAATTCACAGTTTGTATTGGGAATCTGAGTTAGCCTGACAGGTCTCTAGTTCTCTGTGTGGTTGTCATCCTCCTTCCTTTTTATGCTGGTTGGTGGTTCTCTGCTTGCCTCCAGGCAGTGCATTAGGACTTCGTCATCTCCTGTGAGTTCACAGTGTCAGTGGTTTCATTCATTAGCGTGTGGTTGTTTTGGGTTGGTTTGTTTGGTTTTTTTTTTTTTTTTTTAAGAATAAAACATGTCCCAGCTTTGTTTTCCCATAGATTACTTTTTGTTTGTAGCTTTATTCCATCTCCAGCACTTGTAGGTTTTCTGCACTTCTTTGGCCTCCCACAAAGCCCTGCTGACCTGTGTGGTGTTGCTTAAAATCTTTTTTTCCTTCAAGATTCACTACCCTTCATCTGCTCTACTTGTTTGTTCCTTATATTTGAATAGTCGGTGTTGTCATTTCATGATCGCCATTACCCAATCTATCTCCCGCCTTCAGGTTTCCAAACAGTCCCTCCCTTTTAGCCAAACCAGCTCCATCTTCTGAAGTGAACCATACCCAGGGTGTTGGAAGGTGTGTCCAGCTGTGCCAGCGAATATTTTGGATAGGCACAGCTGTCTTCGTAGCACATGCCCATCTCTTGGGGTAGGTGTGTGCTGAAAGATGGAAAATACTGGGCAACTTTATTTTCCTATTGGATGTTACTGGAAAGCAAGTTAGTGAAGGACCAGAGGTACCAGTGTGACTCCTTGCAGGAGCACAGACTTCACATAAAAGCTGACAATGTTAGCAAATGCCACTGTAGTTTCAGGAAAGGGGTAGATAATTTTGTTCAGTATAGGCTTTAAAGACAGCTCCTGGTTTTATTAGCCAGCAAGTATTCAGAAGTCAAAATGCCAACGTGTAGCAGTTCTAATCTCATTTTCTCTGAGTCAAACAGTTGGCATGGTACTTTATTAGTAGTCTTTTCCTAAATGTGCCCTGGATGTTCACCACAGGCTGCATGAATCAGGGCTGTGATTTGGAAAATCTTGCTGTTCCTGAGACAGAGTTAACTGAGCATAACTAGCAGGAAAGTAAATAGCTGTCTGATTGGGGTTTCATGGCCATTTTATCTTACTAGCAACAAGTCTGTTCCTCTTTTAGCATGCCCAAAGATAGCAGGATGAGTCTGGAGTCTCTAGAGAGTAAACATTGTGGACCAGGATGTAAAGATGCTGGAAGTTCTGCTTGCTGGAGGTGCCAGCGCTGTGTGCATGTCCATCATTTGCTCATCAGAAGCTTGAGAAAAGGAATCCTGCTGGTACAACCCCTACTCATCTCTTGCTTTGGATATGGACTGGGAGCTCCTTGGAGATTGGGAGGTGCTGAATGGGGTTTTGCTCAAGAGGAGAATATTATGTATGAGTTGTTAGGTGGTTGTATTTTGCTGACCATTACTAAGGGTGTCTGAAATTTGGTATGGAGTGCAAGGCCCCCATGTTTCCAGACTTCAGGTGGAATTCCATCAACCCCAGCTGCCTTGCCTCCAATCGGGAGGCCTGGAGACACGCCATCTATAACGCAGCTGTCTCCTTTGAGAACACACTCAGGGATCACTCTCGAGGAGAAAAGGCAACGCAGAAAGAACCGTGTCTTGCAGAATGCACCATCTAAGGAGTCTTTCTGCTGTGCCTTTTGCAATCGGATATGTCTGTCTTGTATTGGCCTCATAAGCCACCAGCGTGCCTGTAGCAAATGTGGATAGAGCCTTCCCAAATCTTCCTTCGCAAAGCCCAGCCACGACTAAGAGTGTCTGGACAAGTAGCATCTTCTTAAAGAATGATGAATCTTTGGTGCATGACTCTGTACCTGGGGGTGGGGCCTGAGACAAATCTCCTTTAGCAAGTCTAACCAGCTTAGAGCTGATTTCCTTCTCAGACATATGGAATTAACCAAAGGTAATAGGGACCACGCCTGGCCAGTGTATTGTAAGAACTGACTTTTCATTTTCTGGTATTGGAAGGAAAGAAGATATAGTTGAGCTTGACTTTTCTTCTGCAGTTCTCCTGGTTACGCCTCCATCTTTATCCTCAGTTATGACAACAGTGTTCAATAGGGACTTAAGTCTTTCTGTGCTTTCAGCAAGTTGCCCCATGCTTAAAAGCAGAAGGTAGGGATGGGGTCCTTGCTTTTTGCTCATGATTCAGCCACTGCTTCCTGTTAACTTTGTCAAGACACTAAATCTGCCTTTCTCTACCTTTCTGTGAAATAAAATGCCTCATGTCTAAGTTGTATAAAATCAGACTCCCATTGCTTTCAGTGACAACCCCTGTGCTCATGGATACTGTGAGACATAGCAAAGTTCACTAAAACTACAGAGTATTCCTACTAGCATTTATCTTCTCCCCATCCTTCCCCTGTCAAACAATGAATATCTTAAATAGCTTTGTTGAGCTGTGAGTTTTGTCACTCACATTCTGGCAGAAATTAATTCGGAGAGTGGGTTCATGCTGATTAAGGATGATAGACTGGAAAATGGTCCATTTGCTGGCTGTTGGCTTGAAGCTGGGAAGGGAATTCTGTCCTCCCTCCTTCTTGGGTAATTCAGTGCAATTTGTAAATGCTGCTGATGATGATTTGTACTTTATAGGTGCTTCTCCCTTGCCCGGCCTTTCCCAGGATTTGCAAAGCAGTAATTAATCCTCATTTATGCTGTTGTGATGATATTATACTCATTGTAAGGTGTGGTTAGTAACTTGAGCACAAAGTAGTTAAGGACTTGCCCCAGGTCCTGCAGTAAAACAACTGGAGCACCAGAGAATTCTCCTCTGACTACTCAGTATCACTTCCCTGTTGCAGCTTTTCTGTGGTACATGATACTGCATTACCTGATTTTCAGTTTATAGGTCCCATCAGTCTGGTCTGCAGCTTGTTAGCACATCATTTTTTACTGTGTGGTGTAACTGTGGGATTCCTGGAAACAAGGAAGCTTTTGGTAAACTAAGTCATACTATCCTCGTTTTTGCTGATTCCTTGTGCTTTTGGTTGTTGCTGTTACCATATTTTGTAATTTTTGGCCAATTATTCCCAGTGAATCTAGATATATGAAAGGTGTTTTGCCTACAGATCATCATCTTTCTGTAAAGGAAAGGGTTTAATTGTTTCTGTGAAACTCTGATCCTGACAGATACCATCAGGGTAGCCTGTGCTTCAGTGCAGTCAGCTTTTCTGTGGATATCCACTTGATGAGAACAGGCATTCTGAAGACCCATGCTCTTCAGTAAGACATGGGTTGACGCATAAGATGGGATATAAGCTATGATAGCAAGAAAGATTCTAGTCACTTGAAAGGAGAGTTTGGTATAACTTTGCACATGTTACTAAACGCAGGGAAAGAAAGCATTTTGTTAATAACATTGCAATTCATGGATTTTTAATTAATTTAGTAAAATGAAAGCCTTTTCACTTTAATAGCTGCCAGTAACTGAGAGCTTTTGTTTTGTTTCAGATTGTGAAAACCTGAAATAAAGTATCCTGTGACTGACAACGGGACAAGGACGCTGCAAGGTGGGTCTTCTGTTTTCATTGGTCTTGTATCAGTCATGCCAGGGCTCTGGAAATGCTGTGCATCTTGACTTTGCTTGGATGGATTGCCTAATGAATCCCTGGGGCTTGTTCAAACAAACCCAGATAGTTTGACAGGACTCCTCCTATGTCTGCATGTACATGGGTTATGTATTTTGATGGTGTTTTAAACAAAGAGAATACGTACATTTTCTGGGCCATACAATGGAGGCACAGAGGTAGAAACTTAAGTGAAAATAAAAATGCGTTGGGTTTTTTGCCAGTGTTTTTGTGCGGTGTCTTGTTTTCTGTGGGAAATATCCGATTGGCATTGCGAGCTGAGCTCTCCAAAAGCTGCTGAGTACAGGCACTGCAAGCTGAATCTACGACGTGGCAGTTTTTTCTTCTCACACTTCAAATTTAGCGTTCACGGTTGCCAAGAATGTTCTCTGCAACATGTACTGATTACTTGTCTGTCAGTCACCACATGCTCACCTTGCTTGAGGATTTGTTGCTCTCTTTTGTTGAAGTGTTTTATTGAGGTTGTTTATGGAATATGTGAATATGCAACACAGCACAGATGCAAAGAAATGCTGATCCCTGGATCTTCCACTTGCACCCTGGCATTATCTGTTCAGAGGAGGGTTTGTGTAATGGGTGCAGACAGCTTTTGGTTATCTGAACAGCTCAAGTGAAAAACAGTGCAAAAAGAGCTGGTAAATAACACTTCTGCTTTATCCAGTGGTTATTGTCTAGTGACACTGCACAGTCATGATGAAGTAAGATTTTGTTCTGAGGTTTGTTTTTTTTCTTTTATGTAGTTGATTCTTGTCTGTCTTCTTTTCTAGGGTGGAGAATGGAGTAAAAACTGGGACGTGTTGCCTGTATCTGTGTGCTGGGGGCAGTTTCTTTTGGCCACAACATTGCTGCTCTTACTGCAGCCTCTCATTTGTCTCTGGGAGGTCATAGCTCTTTTTATCTTTGTGTGAAGATGTAAGTCTTTCTGGAGTACATGTCCACAGCAGGAGTAAGCAGTATTTCATTGTGGAGAGCAGCAGTCTCTCTACTGAGTATTTCAGAGTGCATTTTGTCACCAGCTCTGAAATGCTGTGTTATAACTGTGTCAGGCTGCAGTGCAGATGTAATGCTTGTATTTCTCAAGATGTTAAAAAGAATTCCAATAATCATGTAAGCCTTGTCTCGTGTGTACTTGGGGAAGGCAGGGAGAGAAACAGGCGAGGTGTGAATATTTTTATCTGCAAGACTCCCAGTTGTTGTCATTCTTGAATGGAAGCTGCCAGGGGCCCTGCTCTTGGTATTAATACATGTCCAGTGAGAATAGGCCTAGCTTTGGTTTCAGTGAGTACAGGGTGCTTCTTTTAGCTGCTCCTTGTCAGCCTCTGCATGCCATTGAATGTGATTCATTAGGCAAAAAGTTAAATGGTCAGGAAGAGACAGGTCTTTCAAAGCTGTAATGAGGCCAAATCCAATAACTTTAATGGGAAGGAGTGATTTAGGGATCTGAGCTAAAAGTGTAGACAAAGCTGTTTGCTGGGTGCTCTTTGCAAAGAACAACAGGGAAGTTGAGGGGAGTTGATTCTGCACTTTAATTCACTGGTGCCGGTCTGAGCTTAAATAGTCTTGGTGGCAGATGTTGAGTGTGCTGTCTGTTCTTACCAAGAGCTCATCACAGCAGTGTAACTGGGAAATTCAGTTCAGGCTGTGAGCTGCAGGCTGAAAGGAGTAGGTAAGGTCCTGTCTGCCCTTAGAAATAAGTAGTATTCCAATTCTCTCAGTACTCAGAATATTGGTGCTTTCAGCTGCCTTTTGAGCTGCTCACAGTTTATCACTGGAAGTTGTATTCTTGCATAAATGGAGAACAGAATACCTTCTTGCAATACATAATGGTTGTCTGAATCATTTTAGTAAGCTGATCAGACTTACAGTACAGGCTGCAGGAGCAGTCCTGGACCAAGGCTGAATAAATATCTCCAACCTTTTGAATTTTAGTAGTTCTTGTTCTTCTGTTCTCTTTCCATCTTCTCTACGTGACTCTAAGGGCACATCCAGATCATGGTCAGCTCTCCTTTTTATCTTGATAGTCTTCCTTATAACCCTCTCTTAGCCTTGTACACAATTCACAGAAAAGCTCTTCACCCATTTATTGGTCTCTCTGTTGCATCACTTTCTGGACTGCCCCGAATCACATCCTTGCTCATCACACAGCAGTTGTGGTATCTTGCACAAAGGAATGAGACTGTTTGTCTCAGGCTCGTCTCTGCAAGCTCAGGCATGTGTTGAACCTAAACGTTACCTAATTTTTCACAGTTGCAGGGCAATTCAAACTAAATCCTCAAAAGAAAGTATCAAATGTAAGCACAACCGTTGTGTTTTACTGAGAAGCTAGGGGGGAAAAAAAGCAACAAAAAGATGGTTTTACATCTTATCAGAATATTTCACTGGAACAACATGAGTTTATGTAATGGTTCCCAAGCTTGTACTAATTCATAGTGAATTTCCATGTGGCATGAACAAAATAATGGAGAGAATTTTATCAGAAGCCCAAAGACCTGCATTGCCTAACTAACATTAGGCCCTCGTGTGTCATTACTGCTTGCAGGCAGTGTGCACACCCTGCTCTCCTCCTTCAGAGAACAGAGACTGTAGATGAGCATCTCAGGAGGGCTGTGAGGGTCACATGTGGTTGAGCCATTGTCTGAAGAACCTTTCTTTCCGTTGAATCTAAAAAAAGCTTTTGGTTTTTGGACACGTCTTTTTCTCTGTCAAATGTCAGCTGGTGTTTTTAGAAGCCCTGTAAACAGACAAAACTAGGTGAGCATTTTCATTTACATAGTTAAAAGGTAAAAGAACTGTGATCACCACTTACACAGTGGAGTCTTTTGTGCTTCCATCTTTAAAATTGCAGCTCTTTTGGTCTGTTTCTCTTGTAAAAGTGATCTGCTGCACCCCAGAAAATAAACAATTGTAGTAAGGCACCTGATCTCTTGGAGAAATCCAAGTGTCATTGCACCAGGGTGTCCTGGTTCTCTAGTTCCCAGTGTCAGATTGTGTGGCTCAGGTTGTTTTGCGGCGCTGCTTACATATACACACCATTACCATTCTCTCTTACTCCACTGCCTGGAACAGCAAGTGCAGAGGGATCCAGCAGTGCACAGAGCTCCCACAGCAGAGGTTCCTTGAGGAGAGCAGTATCCCGGATGTGGTATGGGGCAGTGAGGACTGTCCAAATGGCCAAACAACAAGGAAGGCCCACTCATTTCTCTGTAACAGGTTTTCTGTATGATATTCTTCTCTTTGTGCTAAAATAAAAGAGAAAGCCAGACTTGGTCTCCTGTTGACATCACATCCAACATCCTTTGATTTGATACTGAGGGCTCTTAAATACCAGGGAGAGAGTCATGTGAAGCAGAAGCTATTTAGACTAAGCCTTGGCTGTTCATGTTGAAGTTATAAGTAACTTGAGGTTACCCCAAAAAACCCACTAACATTCCAGTTGATGGGAAGTGCTCCTCGTATTGGTGTTTCAAGTTCTCCTCTTGTAAGAAGGAGCCCTCCAGCATGTGGGGCAGTGAGAGGGAGAGTTTCTCCATCCAGAGTTCTCCTGTGGTGTTTGTCTCCAGCAGGTGCTCTCTCAGGATGTGCAGCGCACTGCCTTGCACACTCAGTGGGCAATCCTGTTTGCCCTGGGCAGTGGGAGGGCTGCAGTCTGGCCACTGTGCTGAAGAGTTAGAAAAATACATGTCCTGGGCTGCATCCAGCACTTCAGGATGGAGGCCATTAAACTGTGACATGACCCAGCCCTGGCTTATGGACTGACAGTGCACCTTGCAGGCCTGTGTGATGCTCCCTCTGTTCATATGTGGAAAAGCAGGAAGGGTGCTGGCATGACTTCTTCCTCCCAGAGGATAGGATGGGGACTAGGGAAGCCTGTCTGCCCTAAGTCCTGTGTTAGGGAGGAAGTACAGCAGGAGATGCTGAGTGAAGTTGGTGGCTGTAGTATCTTCTCCAGAGGTGCAGACAAACCAGCTGGCACCCACGTGACTCTGATCAGCTCTGCTGGCCCTGGTGAGTCTAACGGACCACATTTGTCATTGGTCTGGCTCTGCTGAAGTCAGCACAAGTATGCCAAAATTGCACAGCAGCAAAATTGGGTTGTTGATTTAGTTCTCTCTCTGGTGCATCTGGACATTTGGGCTACATGTCCAAACCCCACTTGCTCAAATAAATCAAAGCCTGAGATTATGAATATACAGAAATAGGTGCTCTTTTAAGGGCCACTTTATTTTTCATTCTCTGAGATTATAGATAATGTATAAAGATGCAGAGTTAAAAAAGCATTGGTTTTCTGAGCAAATGCCTGAATTAATGTTCTGCCAAATACCAGATGTGAAACCCAGAGGCAGGGCCAGCAAAGTCTTTATTGAGGAAGTATCTGAGGAAGCTGCTCTTATTGACACCAGCAGCTCCCGAGTGTAAATGTTTGTGGGATGTCTTTGAATGACTAATTCCATTGCCAGCAGTGTCTTTAAAAAAAAAAAAAAAAAAGACAAATGGAAGGAACAGGTCGTACACAACTTTTTTTTAAAAGGAAACAACATATTGTAGAACTGCAAGCGTCTGCTTCTACTTAATGCTCAGTCTTCAGACATTCTGAGATGCCATTAATTTATGTGGAATAAGTTGCTATACCCTCCAATAGTCTCTTAAAATACTCTTTTTTATTTTTAACCATATTTTAGTAATTCAGTGGGTTAAAAACATAATCCTTATTGCCTCCTGCATACCGTACCAAGAGGCTGGAAGGCAAAAGGATAATAACAATTTTGATTAGATCCTTCTCCACGACAACGAGTAGGAGTTTTGCTCTTGACTTCAATGGGAGTAGGAGCTAGACCCTTTCTTTGTGATGTGCAGCAGTGATGTCTTCTGAGACAGTGTTAAAGCAGCAATGTTATGCCCTTTATTTCTAACCTGAAAAGTTC